CACCTTGCCTTGTTCCTAGCGCCCATGTTTACAAATATTTGCCATGTCCATTACAATATCCTATTCAGTATTGTATTGTATTTTTATTATTTTACTAAGGTCTTCTTACAGGGTGCCTAAGATGGCACCTAGCTACAACGACCATACCCGATGTAATTATACATGTAGTAGCTGAGACTAAATTTTCACCAGACAAGATCACCGATGACGAAGCATCCCTCCCTAGCTATGCGGTACATATCCGACGGTGGTGTCGCTATCTGGATTAGAGACAACTTGGCCTTCCAGCACCTGCAGCAAGTCAAATCGGTCTTCACCACGAAGCAATCTGGGCGTCCATAGCCGCACAAAACTGAACTCAAGTCGTGATTTGTGCAGTCTACAGGTCGGGATCTTGCGCAGGGAATGGCACAGAGCTACTAGAGTACCTTGACTGTGAGCTGCATACTGCTCGGCGCTTAGGCCAACATATAGCTCTGGCAGGTGATTTGTAATGTCCACAATGTGTTCTGGCTGGGCAGTACAAAAACCACACCTGCAGGAGAGCTGGTGGGGGAGATATCGATGTGCTACATTCATGGACTTGAGGCATGTAACTACACCAACCCGTGGCAGCAACACTCTTGACCTCATTATGTCAGACTTCCCTGGCAAGATACCAGTCAAGTGCCTTGCCCCAATGGGAGCATCAGATCACTTCGTCATCATTGCCGACTTCCTGGAGAGAAAAATAAGGGAAACTAGGGGGTGTGACTAAACTAAAGGATTTGCTTTGGCTGGGTTGGCAAGTACATGTATGTCCCTTCTGCAGTGGATGTACATGTATAGGCGCTAATAGTGGGCGCGGCACTTGTCTTGCTCTCGGCTTGTTTTTCCCTCCCTCTTATGTCCTTCTCTATTATAGAGAAGGACATAAGAGAGAGGGAAAAATAATTTTTTTCTTGGTGCGCTTTAGTTTTGTCTGTGCAGACACCACACTGTGACCACAGCCGAGACCACCAAGGTCGGCTGAGCAGTAGATCTACGTAGGGCCCCACCGCTAGCCCTTTCCCAAAGGTGCTCTTTTAATTCGCACTTACCGTACTTCCGCACATATAAGCGCATGTGCTTATGTCCGGATATAAGCGCACCCCTCAATTATAAGCGCATGTGCTTATATGTGAACACTATTGGTGAAACGGCGGGAGCGAAATATACCACTAAGTAGTGTGATGACACCATTGTTTAGGACACAGACAAACCTGTATTGCGCATATAAGCGCATGGGCTTCTACACGAACATGTTTATGCAGCCAAAGATCTTTTTTGCAGCAATTTTTCGCTTATAAGCGCATGCGGGGAAGTACGGTAGTGCTTTTCGCGCCTCAAAATATGCTGAAAAGTGCTCTTTTTTCAGTGAAAACAGGCAAAAAAGTGCTCTTTTTTCAGTGAAAACAGGCAAAAAGTGCTCTTTTTCAGTGAAGCATACTGCATAGCCATGATACATGTTCAGATATGAACCCAAGCTGAGAAATGAATACGCACTCTTCCATTTATGGGTCCACGAAAGGCAAAACAGGAAGTAAAGTTCAAAAAACCCACTTCTTACAGCATTGTGTGTACAAGATTCACCAACTTGTTGCCCCCCCCCCCCCCCCAAAAAAAACGGCGTGCAAACTAAATTACTTCCAAGGCCCATCGAGCACTCGGAAACTGTGATCGCATGCATGAGCATCAGCAGGGAGTCGTACTCAAACTAGGGAGGTGACACGGCACAGAAATCCGTGTCACAGCTAGGGGTTGACTCGCACCCGGTACCCGTAACACCTCGTTGTTATTTTTGGAATAGTTCAGTCCAGTCCAGTCCGAAAGGTCATACTCGGATCGACTCGCCTTCTGTACTTCACCTCCAAGCGTGCCGCATGGGTGTCTAGTTTTTGAAATTTTTGAGGCAGCACATTTCGTTTACAGCCCATCACTCGCCAGTATTCTTTGAAAGACTACCAGCAATTTGTTAGCTCCTGCCATGTCCCAACTACTTGATAGCAGTGATGGCAACAGCAGCAGTTATGAGACGGCGTGTAGTGTTGCGGTAACTGTTCAGAATTGTTCAGAGTCGTATCCTAGGTTAATCCGAATACTAAAATTGACCCAAATTGCACATAACACGAAGCTGGTTTTTGAAAATTGTAAGTCGTGTATCTTCTCCATTTCTTCTTTATGACTTGCACAATACACCAATCTGCCTAAATAACACATTTATAGCAGGGGTTATGTACCCTATAAGAGAAGTACAGCCAGTGATATTGTTCAGAAAAAGATGGACTTCTAGCTTTTGGCCATAAATGGGTCAAACTTTGAGTTTTTTTAGAATTTTTTTCTGCAATCCCCTATGGAATCCTCTTCCAATTATGTTTCTGAAGTCTATTTGTCCAAAAAGCAAGCCATAACAAGAATAGGATATCGGCCAGGTTTTGCCCCAGAAGCATTGAATTGGAAAAAACCATCAAAATCCAGGCCGTTTGACCCTGCCTGCAACAGTGCATTGTGGGGTTCGAACCCCAGTTCAGGTACCCTTTTTGGACTCTTTTTCAAAGTTCAAATTTCGCAGCACTGCACTGTGTACAATGAAATCACGAAAAATCGCCGAATACGGGAGCTCGCCAGAGCCAGAGCCCATCTTTTTCTGAATGGACTGTAAATACTACAATTTTGACATAAATGACACATAACACGAAGCTGGTTTTTGAAAATTGTAAGTCGTGTACAGGGGCGTAGCAGCCGGTCCGGCCGGTCAGGCTTTGGCCGGACCACTTTTTCTCCCGACCACGGCCAAAAGTGCCCAGAATGCAGGATTTTGTGACCCTAATTTCAAAAAAATTCCCGGAGAGACCCCCGAAGCCCCTCCGGCCGGACCACCTCCAATGGCAGTGCTACGCACCTGGTGTATCTGCCCCATTTCTTCTTTATGACTTGCACAATACACCAGTCTTCCTAAACAACACATTTATAGCAGGGGTTAAGTACCATACAAGAGAGCTACATTGTACATCTAGTCATACTGTCATAAACAGCCAGCATTTTTCCTGCAGCAGTCACACCACCATCATCATTATTTCCAGGGAAATCCTCTTACATTGTCAGCTCCTACGTCGTTAGATACAGTGTAGGGGGCTGTAGGACCGGCTCGTCAAAAATAGAGAACCTGAACAAGCGTGCTCGGGACGTCTCAGCAATCGTAGTATGCCTGAGCACTCCAATAAAAACTTGATCAATGGCAAAATTGTTCCCCACAGAAAAATCATACTTTGCGGGTCTTGCGTTGCACGCTTGGAGGTGAAGTACAGAAGGCGAGTCGATCCGAGTATGACCTTTTGGACTGGACTGGACTGAACTAGTTCAACTATTCCAAAAATAACGGCGAGGGGTTACGGGTGCGAGTCAACCCCTGTGACACGGATTTCTGTGCCGTGTCACCTCCCTAGTTTGAGTACGACTCCCTGATGAGCATTGAGCAAACAGATTTGAGCACTTTTTCAGCTCAAAAAGCTCAAAAAGGGCGATATTCACCAAAAAACGCAATAAAGGGCGAAAGAAACGGGCTTTTTCCAAAAGGGCCAAAAAGGGCGAAAAAAGGGCGAGCACCTTTGGGAAAGGGCTACCCGCCACCACTTTCCGCATTCATTCAAAGCATAGTGGACTTCGTAAAAATAAAAATAAAAATAAATGAACGAATGTGTTAAGGTGGCAGACTAGCCAAAAATTCGCTGAAAATCGAATTTGTAAATTCATATTGAGTGTTACGTCAGTTGAAAGAGCATGAATAGCTGCAAATTCTCTGAATATTGTGTCCCGATCTGATCAGCCGTTCGAGAGTTTTGGCCGAAAATGTGCCCTTGCAAGGAAAGATTTTTTGTTGCACGCTGTCATTTGTTGGCAGCATAGCACTGTATTTGAATGTGAGCAGACCGTGCGCAACTTGTCGTATCATGGAAACACGCGAAAGTGTGCAGAATTTTGCTCCAAGTCCAAAAAACCACGTTAAAAAACCACGTATTGGGCTGCACCCTCGTGACGTTGCAGATATGTGGCTTGATTATTGTAGTTGACGTTGATTTAGTGACTTTGGCAAGTAACTTAGTAGTTTGAGTCTTGTCAAGAAGTCAGGTAGGGTTCAGTACTAGGCAGTAGTGAAACGTGAGTGGTAGTCTTTGCCGGTTTCTGAGGGTATCCTGGATTTGGTGTGCAGCGCTGTGGAAATGGCTTGCTGTGGACGTCCCAGCACTGGATGTTGTATCAAAGGTACGACCTCGTAGCACGCCCAAAACCTAAAATATTCAAAAATTGACTTGGGTCTGTGGGAATCTGTGAGACAACTTAACTTTATTAAACTCAATCTCGTAGCATGTGCATGCATTGCTAATGTGGGAAGCAACCCCAGAGATGAGGGTGATAACCAGCCATGGTAAAAGTACAAAAGAAAACAAGAAAACAGTGGAAAGAAAGGAACAGGGGGGAAAACAAAGCTCAGCCAAGAAAGGAACAGGGAGGAAAACAAAGCTCAGCCAATTAAGTGAGATAGCCGGAAATTACATTGTTTAGCTAAACACGCGTGAGTGCTGCAGGAAAACGCAACTCAGTACAAACAACTTGGCGAAACTGAGACATGCTGTGGCAGTGGTGGGCGAGGCTTGATAGCTTGAGCCAGTCAGAATAGGAATGAAACAAAGGGGATTTTGTAAACTGGACAGTGCGAGCTGCAGGTAGCGAGACTTGTGCCCTTGTTGAACGGCTCCGCACAAACCAGTCATAGGG